AAATCCCGTTTGTTCAGATGCAGATGGTGGGACAATATCCATTAAGTTTCCCAAATGGTTTGAGTGTACAAGTAAACGATGTAGATTCTGTGGACACCTATATGCCAGAATGTACTTAGACCAATCTGCGTTTGAAGCCGAATATTTTCGAAAAATCTCTCCTATTCGACTAAACTGTTTGTTATATGTAAGTACAAGTACTTTTTTCCGTGTCTTTTGTCCCAAACCCTTCTCGGAAACAATGGATTTCTTCTCTTTTAGTAAATCCAATCTGTCTAATTTGTCAACTTTTTGAATTTTGGACACTACATTTTTCGGCCTATATCCTCGTTTACTCAATCGATGAACAATATTGGCGTATTCTCGCCATTTCTCGATATCATCATTGCAAATTCGTTTAACTCTATGTGCAAGTGTAGTGGCTAAATTGTCCAATATAAATCTGGGATGTCCTGACTCTAATCGGACGTACTGGAAAGTGTCTGTGGGTTTTTTGAAAAGTTTCGAGATCAATTTGTTGAGTATTGTATTTTTTGTAATTGACACGTCCAAATAATTGATCATCGTCTCACCGAAACCTTCCACTTTGTATTTTAAATTCGGATTTCCCGTGTTCAGTTTCGAAAGAAATTGCTCAGCTTCTACTCTATCACCATACCAAAGGATTAAGACATCGTCCAGGTAGCGAAAAAATCGGAAAGGCAACTTCTCGCATTTGTGGAATAGCCTCAGTTCATTTAATAAGACAAACAGGTTAGTAGATGGTGGCGCACATGGGGTCCCCATTGCCGTACCGAATTTCTGTATATAGAATGTTCCACCAAAATGAAAGATGTTATAACCTAACACTATTTTGGGTAATCCGACAAGCCCCTGACGCGAGATAGGTATGCCGGAAGTTTCTCTATTTTCAAACACGAAATTCGACACTCTTGCTACACCTTCATCAATAGGAATATTAGTATATAAGGATTCAATGTCTGTCGTAGCAAACCAAAATTTACCTAAATCGAGCCTTCGACTCAGAATCTCCTCGTTCACAGACTCAATCTCAATAAGCAATTGTTTTGTACTATTCAGAACTCTATAGAAATCGCAGTGATATTCCTCCTTAATAAATTTAGATGAACCGTCGACAAAAGGTTGTAGGACTTGACAGAGAAATTTTGATGCTCTCTCAGTGCAATGACCAATACCTGACACTATCGGTCTACCCGGACATCCACCCTTATGCACTTTTGGGAGTACATAAAAGTTCGGCAATCTAGGAAGACCTCTGTGTCTAATGTTATGCTCCAGTCTAGATGGAATATGGTGTTGTATGATGAGTTCGTTAATTCTATCCCTCACAGTTTTATATGTTTCCCACATGGGGTTTTTTGCAACTCTTGCATAATTCCGTGTCTCATTTAATAGTGTGTACGCTTTCTCTTCATACGCATCTTTGCTCATCACTACAATCCCCTGTCCTTTATCCGCCTGTTTAATCACAATATCTCGACGTTTCTTTAAACCGTCCAACGCTCTATATTCCTCTCTTCTCATATTGGGGCGAAACGCATCCGTAGATTGCACTATTGCATCGCGTATCAAATCCTTCCTCAGTTTAAGGAGAGAATGCGTCTTCGAAACATGTTTTATTTCATCTACTAATTTCGATTCCACCTTCATATGTTTTGTTGGAATATATTTTAGACCATACTAGAGGACTCCTAATTCATTTGCATCTAGATGCACATGTCCTATCTTAAAAACATGTTCCGACATGCGAAGCGGTTCACCCGAATTAATACGAGAAAACTGTCACTGCTTCTCGATGCCACTCCTATTTGGAGTGGTACCTGTATCAAATGTTACATGGCGGTTGGGAAAATCAGTATTATTTACCGTATTTCCACGATTAAAACTATTATTATAGTTATTATTTTTCTCATTAAAAACATTATTATTAATTCTACTCGAACTAGTTACAGGTCTATATGTCCGATTGACTCTTTCACCACTATAATTCTGAAAATTTCTACCCGAATTGCTACGCCAGGTATTACGCCGTCCTGGATGTCGGGTTAACCCATTGTTTAAGTAACTTGAATTCGTACGAGGTGGTAGACGACCTTCATTCAGTGTAACCAACTGTGGCGTCTCATTAGAATCCGGTCCTTGAGCTAATGCTCTAAGTTCCGTCACCATCTCATCGTTTTTCGTGACCAATTCTGTATTCATTAGTCCAGGTGAGTATGGCGACTGAATCTTATTCTTTTTCTTCTTACAGTATTCCTCTGAATGTCTTCCACCTCGACAGAACGCACATTTTACTAAGCATCTAAATTGTCTATGACCCTGTTTGCCACATCCTCGACAACTTAATCGAGTTTTATGATGTTGCAAGGCTTTTTGCTTGGATCGATTTGATGTATGAACCTGCGTATCGTCCAATGTAGGTGTAGCCGAGCTATTGGAGTTGAGTGTAGAAGACATGGACATTGTATTTCCCAACCATTTTTTGGGGATAATCTCCCGAATCTCCGTTCGGAAAACTTTATTCCACGATTTTTCGATCGTTTGTTTCAGTTTCAATCCTTCTTCACGCTCAACATCCACCAGTTCAGTCTCCTTCTTTGTTGCAGACAATTTACTACGTATAGTCATGCATACTGATTCTGCCGACTCAATCGTTTGTGATATAGCTTCAGCCTCACATTGTAATAACTTTAACCTCATCTCATGAATGATATTCTCCCATTTATTCCGAATTCTATCAACTTGAGTGCCGAAAGATTGATGGGGACTATCAAACTGCAGTGTTTTCGGGAATATATGATATTCCTGATAGTAGCTATTTAAAGCCAAATGATTACGGAAACGGTAATATCGATTGTTTTCTGTTCGATATTTGCTAATCAGATCCTCTTCCGACTGAACAGCTGTGAGTTCAGTCTGCGTGATTATTGATCGGCCTCGTCCAGAACACGCCAAACAAGTCGTTGCTCCATGTAGACCTTCACATTGTTCAGCTTTACATAATTTAATGTTATGTACTTGAGCTTTACAATCTGTCATAAGCCACCATTCACGAAAAGTACGAAAACCTTCGATCTCATCGTCTGATGAACTATTCCAGATTTTTTCAGTGGAGCACTCAAAGCTAATATCGGTCTGTACCTCGGCGTTATTCACAAACTGTATAGACGAGTGTATAGGAGCAGTCCTTCTTATTTCATTAACTATGTCCACAGACGTAACCGACGTCTGTGCCTGATCTATATTGCCTATATGTGAAGGTGCATGCTCTAATTTTTGGGATAAAACATTTCTATCCGATTGATTACTGTTACTATTATTATTCAATACTGTTTCAAGTACAGGATCAGCAGGTCGACAGGAGCTTTCCGTTCCATCTAGGACTGCTGAAATACACTTTATGAGATTGAAGTGCGATAATCCTCCTTTGAATAGTAATCTGTTTTAAAGGAAGTGTGTTTCTTCTCCACTTTGTCCTACCTGTCGGACTAACGAAACGATACAACATTATTTATTAGACTGCGCCGTTTATAAACGGGCAAGAAGACAAATGAGGAAGAAATTGAGCTTTCTAACTCGGT